TCCCAGAAATGTCGTTGTTATGCAGATAAGGGAAATTTCTAGAAGGCATTTGTCTTGTCTGTTTGATCTCAAATGTCTTCAGCCTAAGCTAGCTTTATACCTCCTCCAGAGTTCCAAGTTCCTCACCCCTAATCATAGCAAATCTTTGTGTGGTGTGTGTGTGTGTGTGTGTGTGTGTGTGTGTGTAGAGGCCAGAGGTTGATGTCAGGGATCTTCCACTATTTGTAATTGTCTTATTTCTTTTTAAATATTTTATTTATTTTTATTTCATATACATTGGTGTTTTGTCTTCATGTCTGTCTGTTTGAGGGCATAGGCTCCCCTGGAACAGGAGTTACAGAAAGTTGCGAGCTGTCATGTGGGTCCTTGGAATTAAACGTGGGTCGTCTGGAAGCGCAGCCATTGCTCTTAACTCCTGAGCCATCTCTCCAGCCCCTACTTACCTTACTTCTTCCTCTGAAACTCATTAAATTATGGCTGGCCTCAAACTCAAAGAGCGGGTCTTGACTCCAACTCTGGAATGCTGAGATTAAAGGTGTGTGGCTGTCTTTTGAGGCAGCATCTCTTACTGAACTCTCACTGATTGGCTAGATTGGCTGCCCAGGGAGCTCCAGGGAGCCACTTGTCTCCACCCCCAGAGAGCTATGGTTATAGACAACTAAGTGTAGCTTCTATACAGGTGCTGGGACATGATACCCTCATTATTACACACCAGGCACTTTACCAACGGGTATGAGAAGAGATTAAGTTTAAGGAATTTCTCTCTCTCTTTTTTTTTAACTTACCATTTTCTTTCTCTTCCTGCTGGCCAATAGAACAACTGCTGTTCCCTTTCCTAGCTGATGAGACTATGTCAGAGGGGGTCGACTTTCTGCATTTCAGATAATGTACCCCAAGCCTATGTTTTTTTTTATCTCTTTTGTTGGAATCGAGGCTGCCTAGGAGGCATCCTTCTTAGTTCTCATTGGACAACCAAGGGCCTCCTACGGCAGATTCCACACCCTGGTCAGAATTTCCAACGCTTCGCCTCTCTGCCCCTGCCCCAAGAGTGTCTGCCCTGTCCTAGATCTCTGTGTTTTCCATGAGGGCACATAATAAAACATTGGAGTAGTACACGTGTTACTCATGTGGCCTCATGTGGAGGCCGAGAAAAATCAACTAGTGTTGGATCGCTTGAGAAATGGCTAACAGTGAAATGGTGCATCCTGCGTTCTTTCCTTATTAGACCTCGGCTTCTTGCACAGCATAAGTAAAATCACCCCAGAGTTGCTACAGAACTCCCCGGCCCCACAACTTCAGATTCTGAGGGAGTTGAATGAAGGGTTCACGCAAATACCCACTTGAGTCTAGTTTGAGACGAGCTGGCGTAAAGATACATAAATAACACAGCTAAAAACAAAAACTCACACAGATGTGGTTTCAAATTGTTATGCTATCACTTTAAATTGTGTGAGCTTAAGCAAACTAATACCGTCCATCGCTCCTTTGAAAGAATTTCTGACACAGTTATTTTGAAGATGGAATAAGATAAAATGTCCTGGGGGCTGGAGAGGTGGCTCAGCGGTTAAGAGCACTGGCTGCTCTTCCAGAGGGCCCTGGTTCAATTCCCAGAACCCACATGGCAGCTCACAACTGTCTGTAACTCTAGTGTTAGGGGACCCGACACCCTCACACAGAAATACATGCAGGCAAAACACCAATGCGCATGTATTCATGAGTGCACGCACACACGCACACACACACACACACACACACATACACACACACACACACACACATGAAATGTCCTACCATCGTCCTTACATGCCAAGTGTAAGAAAACCCTGAGCCAAAAGGTGTCATCATTTCCACAGTGTCCTATGACAGCTGCACACAGGCCTTTCCCATTACGCTCATTCCTCCTTCGGGGAGCTACACCTTCCTCAATGGGTTTCCCTTACATTTCCCTCACCCTCAGCAAGGACCCCTGGGAGACAGTCATCATGTTTGGCTGTTTTTGTTTGTTTGTTTTTGTTTCTGTTTTGTTTTGTTTTTGTCTACATTTAATGAAGTTCCTCTTCATTACCATAGTATGACCATGGGGGAAAAGTGAATTCTATGCCAAATAGTTTTTTTCCTTTTAGCCAGCCAACCTAGAGGAAATGGATAGGCAGAAAAGTACCTCCAATGACGGTACTGTCAGCCCAGTTGGAATGAGGGACACTTAGGCCCAAAGAAGCAAGTTAAAGGTGATCTCATACAACCAAGTGGCGTGTGACCTGAGAGATGATTTTTTTTTCCTATCCAGGGAGAGCGTGGGGCATCTCCGAGCTGTCTGAAGTAGAAAGACATGGATGGTTTTTAAGGAAATGTGTATATTTTTTTTTTCTGCCACTGAAGAAGGATTTGTTGAAGCAGTTGGAATTCAGCTCAAATGAGTCATTTTATTTTGTCACTTAGGGCCTTACAAATGTAAGTTTGTCCAGGAATAAGGAGATAGAGTTCTGGAAAGTTTCTGAGGAAGACAAGCAGGTGTTTCAGGTTGTGTTCCTCTCTCTCGTCCCTTCCCTCCACATTTCCCCCCATCATGTGCTCTTCAATCTGTGTTTCAGTTAGTATGGATGGTACATATGGCAATTCCAGCATCCCTCGTAGGAGCAGCTTCAGGCTCATTTGTTGGCTATTGTGATAGAGGAATGCAGTAATATCCCCAATAATGACTGGGGAGAGAATCCACCAAAGAGGATCCACACACAACCGTTTCACTGGAAAGCTGGTTACAAATCACATTACTTCCGCAAATTAAACATGCAGTTACTATAGAAATAAAGACACCAACCCTTTCCTTCTCCTTTCCTTTGTTTCCCCTTGGTATCGAGTGTATGCATGTTGTTATGTCTCGGATCCTTTTGATGAAGAATCTAGAACAACTATCAGTAGTTTTAAAGGCATAGAATAGTGTGTTCCCAAAAGAGCATCCTGGGAGGCAGTTTGGACCCTTCTCTTGTGTTTTTAGGTATTATGTGAAATGTTTTTTTACTCTTTTGGCTTTTGGGGGGGCCCACCACCCAGATCCCAAATCATTCACACGCGGAGGCTTATTCTTAGTTAGGAATGCCTGGCCTTACCTTGGCTTGTTTCTAACCAGCTTTTCTTAACTTTAATTAACCCATCGACCTTTTCCCTCTGGGCTTTTATCTTCTGTATTTCTTCCTTTTCTTAACACAGCTTCACAGAGTTAAACAAATACAGCATAAACAAAAGTCACACATGTTAAAATAATACTCTGCTGCACTTAGGGTCATCTACCAGCCGTGGGCAGCTGAGAAACCCTAGACAGTGTTGGAGTGCAGACTCCAGAGACTCTAAAAGTGGCTCAGACTGCCTTGTGCCTCGGCTGCTCTGGGGCCTTGGTCTCTCCTCCTTTAGGTTCAGGTAATACATTCTTTAAAGTTTACATGGATGATAAGACTACAACACAGGCAGGCTCTTCAGCAGCGAAAGGTTAGTAACAAATGCATGTAAAATAACAAACTATGGCAAAGCCACAGCCTAGTTGAATCTTATAGTAGAAGGAAAAAAAAAAAAAAAAAAAAAAAAAAAAAAAAAAAAAAAAAAAAAAAAAAAAAGATCCAAATTTAAATGAATGGCAGTCCAGGTCTTGAAGACAATGGATTGCAATTGAAGGAACTGGAGTGATTTCTGCAAGGTGAGGGTGATTTGGTCCTAGTTGCTACAATGATTCTGCGTTTATTTGATGTAAATTGTTGTAGAAATGCCAACTAGAACCTCACTTTGGGCACAGGAATTGAAATTATGCACCAAAGAAAACACAAGCATTCAGCCTGCACAGCTGTTTCTGCCAATGCTGTGTGGCAACTTCACTGTACAAAAAAGAGAAATAAACCCTGGGAAATCAGAGCTAGGACTAATGGTAGCCCCCTGATGAAGGCACCGCCCTTGGGCTCTGAAGCCTTTGATGTTCTTGGGGATAATGGCACAGATTATTTTGCAACTTTCTTCTAGAGGAAGTATAGGTACATGTCCTAAAGTAGTAGGATAACAAAGTAAACATTCCTGTGGGTGGAATGCAAATATTTTATAAAATATATGCCACTTGTATGAAAATTGAGTTCCCAGACATCTGTCTAATTGCCAAAGGTGGTTGAGCTTGGCTTGTGGAGTGTGTCTCATCTTTACGTTCCATCGCAGACAGATGTGGAAATTGAACAATATTCACCCTGACAAGATAGAAATCTATTGCTGCCACTTTGCAAGATCTACCAAGAAAGTAGATAGTGGCTGAAATCGATGATAAGTTTCATGCAGAAACATAGACTATGCGTTCTGCTCACTCATTACCTGCTTGATTTTTGTTTTCTTTTCCTAATAAAGGTTTTTGTTAATAAAGTCTTCGGTTCACATAGCAAAACTCAGGGGACCTAAGAATCTTTGATGCTGTGATGTTTTATGGTGGTATTTCAGTGTGATGATCAACATTCATGGTTATCTTGGGATGCATGTGGCCAACACTGCAGATTAGACATGCCTTCGGGCTATATATCTTCTGTCACCCTAACTTGAACAATGGTGTCAATCCACACCCCTCTCCCCCAATTAAAATCACTTGGGATCCATCTAAATGCCAAGATGGAGTTTAGGTTTTTGAAGAAGGCCCACCCTTCCTCATCCAAGCCCATTGGCCAGTGAGGTTAAAGGAGAGGAGGAAAAAGGGAGCCATTTGGGGTGGAGGAGAAAGATAGCCAAATGAGGCCAACCTTTCACAGTTTGTAGCATGCAAATGATCTAAGAAGCGGTATGCAAATCTGCGCCAATTGCTTGATTCAAGAGCTCACAGCTTTTGGAAACTGGTTTGAAGCAGAAAGTAAGATGTCTGTAATCAGCAGTCAAGGGTGATTATCCCCTTGGGCTGGATCGAGAGCTTGCCTGCCTGTTGCAGATTTTTTGATGCTGTACTGAGTCTGACTGCTCTTCCCTCCCTGTCTTCCCCTGTCTTGCAGACCGGAGGATGTTCTCCTCCACCGCACGCATGATGAGATTGTCCTCCTGCACTGCTTCCTCTGGCCAGTGGTGACATTTGTGGTGGGCGTTCTCATTGTGGTCCTGACCATCTGTGCCAAGAGCCTGGCCGTCAAGGCAGAAGCCATGAAGAGGCGCAAGTTCTCCTAACGGGGAGGAGGATTGTGGGAAGCCAAGCACAGAGGCTGACCTGACAGCACTCGCCTGCCCTGCAGAGCCCACATTTGGTGGCGCAGGAGATGGAGGGGGCCACACCAGGCCTCCAAGAGGCATCTTCTTCAGTGGCGGCAGAAACAGGCACGATTGGAAGACTCTGGGACGCATCGCCTGTGTTCCACGTGCTGTAGCAACGGCTAAAGGGTCAAGCTCTTAGCTATATGGAGTGACTGGAAAACCATATAAGAAGTTGGTTTTCTCCCGAAAGCAACAGTATCTCATTTGTATAGTGTAGTATAAAAAACATTATGATTTATGCTACTTACAAATATTAAAATACAGTGCTCTGTGTTCTTTTCTATTTTCTTTTTTAGATCACCAGGGTATTTAAAAGGGGTCTAATGGTTTTTCGCTTGATTAAACGTATCATTTGAATCTCCAGAGCCATTGACCTTACTGCATAACCACTAGTTTCCATGAGCAAATAGTATCTTGACTCCTACTTGAAAAAGGGATTCTACAATGGTAACTCGGCCTCCGGCCACTCCATTTTTCCCCCTTTGAAGCCTGAGAAATCGTCCTCCACCGGGCTCCTTTGTGTGGCCATTATTTCTGGCCAGATGACTTTTTGAGAGAGGGACATGATTCTGAAGGTCTGTCCAAACTCTGGGGACAAAGAGGTCTTATTTATCTGTTTGTTGCACGTGGTAGACAAGCTCTGAACCGCTGAAGCCATGTTCAGGCTCATTGTTCAGGTTTTTTTTTTTTTTTTCTTTTGAAAGATTTTTTTTTCCCCCACTGTGCAGTAGGAGGTTTTTATTTTTCTTTTGAAAGATTTTTTTTCCACTGTGCAGTAGAATATACATGACATGAAGTACACCGTTCACTTTATAGTTAAATGCTGAAAACAGAGCCCGTTCAAGCGGTGCATTTCCCCTGCCTTGATGCTCTGGGGTTACAGCAGGGTGACTCGTTCAGTTTGCTCAGACAGCTGGGGATGCAGCCTGGCTCCTCCCACCGCTGCTGTGCCTTCCAAAGTGCATCAGAGCCAGGCATGGTGGCATGCATGGGTCTCTCTGCACGCAGGGCCCGCCTGGTCTGTGTAGTGACAGCAAAAGGTACACGATGACACCCCGTCTCATTACAAAACAAGAACAGTGGAAACCATCCCCTTTGCATCTGGTCATAGACTCGAAGTCCAGACACCGGCCATGAGCCCCAGCAGAGAGCAGACCCGCCCATTCACAACCCAGATGAGACGGCACAGGTTATCAGTGGACGAGCAGCTGGCAGCTGGCATCGGCCTTGGCTTTCTTCTCCACGCTGCCCTTAGAGTAAAACTGGAGTGTGAGGTATGGACAGGCTGGCCCCAGTTATTTCCACAGGGTTTGAACACTCAGTGAAGCGATGGCTCCCTCCCTCACCCTCCACAAATCACTGTCAGAGTACCCCAGTCCTCTGGAAGAGAACACAGTCATCCTTCCTTCTAATTCAGGTGTTAACAGGTGTCACTGTGAAAAGGCCTGGCATACACTACCCCTGACATCTTTTGAGGCTGTTTCTGTGCCTTGACTTCAGTCCCAGTTTTCTGTTCCAATGTTCCTGTTGTCTTAGCAACACAGAACTATTCTGATGCACCGGGTAACACGAAACCAGGAATCAGAGAAAACCGTTGTCTTGGCATCACACGGAGGGAGATGAAGTCTGTTTCTTCCCCATCCAATTATCTATGAATAACTGATTATAGAGAACACGTAAACCTTAAGAGCCCATGGGCATATGTCTGTGTTGGAATAAAAGAAAAATCAACGTGTTAACCAACCCGAGTTTTCATTTGTCAACTCAATACTCATAATTTATATTAACCACATGCATCTGTTTAGGCCCAGAGGATATACACGCAAATGTAAGCTGTAGGTTGGTTCTTGGAGGAGAGGATAAGCACACTGAATCTGTGAAGGTCGAATGTAGTTTTTAGCTCTTTGTTTACAGCCTGTTCCATTGGAGGCTTCTTGGTCATCCTTGTTAAAAGTAAAAGGCAAAGGTTCAGCAGGGAGAAGGAGTTCATAAAAGATATGCTTGAGTTCTTAATATTTTCATTCTCTCTCTCTCTCTCTCTCTCGCATCAGTTGGAGAGGATCAGCTGCTATAACACAAACCCCCAAATAGGATGGTTTATGTAAGATGCTACTTTACGTCTTCTGTACTAATCCATAATTAACACGTAGAGAGTGTTAGGCAAGCTCTTTGAGAGTTGTCTGCATGTGCTTCTCTGATGGCCAATGGTGTCTTATGTCCCTTCCAGCCTGGAAGGGAGAGGACGATGGGATAAAGCTGTCACCCTTACAGATATTTTACCCATCCCTGTCCCCATAGTCAGTATTTACTGCACAGCTTTCAGGAACCCTCGAGCCTGTTATCTGCGTGCAGATAGACACAGGCCTACAAAGGCTCCAGGGGGTGGGGGTGGGGGTGGGGATCCTATTACTAAAATGAAGAAGGGGGGGGGGAATAACATTAAAGGAAAAGTGAAAAGAGATGGACCTCTGGAACAGGCCTGGCTAGAAGCAAAGTCTTCCTGGTTACGGGAAGATAAGCTCTAGTCTATTGTTTCTGTGACCCTATTTTGAACCCTGGGAAGGTCTTGCCAACTAATTCCATGCAACTCTGAAAACGTAAGGGGTATTCCAGGTTATCTGCCACCTGTCTTTTGGTACAGATATATAAAATAGTTTGCCTTAGGAATTAAGGAGGTTTTTCCCAGGCCACTGTAACAACTCAAATTCAACTCTTGATGTGTAGTCGCTAAATCCCATCAAACCTCACTTTGCCCTCGACTACATATTTGTGTAACAAGCTCTTGGAAGGCCAATGACTCTCCCTTTGGCCCCTGTAGGAAGCTGGAATGACATATACCCCTGGCCTGCCTGCAAAAATTCTCACCCAAACCTAACCTCATGGACAATAAAAGCTAAGCCAATGAAACCATTTCTGGACCTATATAGGTGTGTGTGTGTGTGTGTGTGCCTGTGTATGTGTGTGTGTGTGTGAGAGAGAGAGAGAGAGACAGAGAGAGAGAGAGAGCGAGAGAGAGAGAGAGAGATATCAACACCTGAACTAAATTCATGATACCTATTGCATTTTGGATAGTGGTGGTGGCATTTTAAGGTGATTACAGTGTAAAGATATAATTTTATGAAAACCAGAGATCTGGAAGTGGCTCAGCAGGTTAAGGCATTTGCTGGCAAACCTAACAGTTTGTTCCTTAGGGCCACATGGTGAACAAGAGCATCTGCTACCATAAGTTGCTCTTCACTCTTCAGCTGACAGTCACTCTATGTGGCCCGTGTCTCTGTCATTCTGGAAAATGCATTTAAGTAGGAATGCAACACCCTTCCTATGACCCCCATTGTCTGATCAATAATACTGAATGAGGCGTTTGATTAAGCGAGACTGAATCATGACCACGTCTTGTACTGCTGGGGTACAGATGTAGCTGAACTTGAGGCATAGGCAGAGACTCGGCCAAAGCTGTGTCGCCTGCAGCTACCGTTATGTTTATTTTATTTTCTCTCAGGCACTGGTTTTCATAGTGCCTGCTAGGGTTTGGATATGATTTGGCCATCAGGGGTTCTTTCCATTATTTCATTTTCCTAAAATTAAAGTTAATTAAACTACCTTGCTTGAGTTAATTTAATGATTAAAATCGACTTAATCAGTATTTATTAAAATCCGAGAGGATGCAGGGATAAAAAGAGAAACTTTATTCTTCTGCTGGAGTAAGATGCTGAGAGTAAGGGATGGGGTTTCCTCAGTCAGGGTGGTGTCAGAGACAGCCAGCAGAGATGGGGATACGTAAAAGATATACATGATGTGATCTGTAGGGCGCTAAAGAAAAAAAAAAAAAGAATGTCTATATCCAGAATCCATAACCTACATGACCATCAATAGATAAGTGCATAATTAAAATATCACGTGTTGGGAAATGTAAGTCCTTGTCCCTTACAGCTCTCTTCCTTCCCACCCAGCTGTAGAACTCCCTGGCTCTCAAGGTTGATCAAACAAGGTTGTCCTCATAACTTTCCGGTGTGCAGTGCCTGCATCTTGACCCCAGGTGTGGGTGGTGCATGATCTCCTCCTATGCTTAGCCCATCCCCTGGCTTGGGTAGATAAGCCCATTCCTCTCATTAATAAAGGGCAGCAGCTTCCTCTTTGATTCTCGTGGTGGTCTGTTAAGTGTTTCAATCCTGACATCCTCCACCACTCTGGTTGTGCGGGTGCGGTGATCGTGCTTTTACACAATTGAATCTCAGTTGTCTGAAACGAAAAAACGTAAACCACGAAACATTCAGGAAAATAGATACATCTGGAAAGCATAATATTCATCAACATGACCCAAACTCAGAAAGACAAACTCGTGTGTGCTCTCCCATACGAAGACTCCAACCTGTAAGGTATACACAATACAGAATACGTATGTGGGTGCACGTGTAGGGATAACCTAACAACCAGGAGACCAAGGGGGTAAAACTCGAAGCTAAGGAACAATGGGGTAGCGTTCAAAAGACACACGGAAGAGTGTGGAGGAAAACGGGATAGTAGGGGTGAGGCGAGAGGCGAAGAGGATCTACTAAACCACACTTTGATGGAAAATGTCATAATGATATCTAGAGTCTTGTATGTTAATTAAATGTACTGAAAAAATAAAGCACAGGCATTAAGACAGACCATTTGGTTTCTCCCTGTTGCTGGTGTATGGTCTTGGGCAAGTCAGCCTGTTTCTACAGATATCTCAGTTATGAAATCATGCTGATGCTGAGGTACTGATACTGAGTCATTAGTGCGGATTAAATGAGAGCGTAAGATGCAGTACACAGCCTTGTGGATAAATGCTAACCACAATGGTGATAATGGTTGCTGTCCATGGTGGGTGGTGTGGTACAGCATGGTTTCAACAAAAATGAAAAAATGGTCTCAAAACAGACTCTTTTTGGTCATAAAATCCTGTGCTTTGGTCCTGTGGTTCTATTTCTTTACTCCCTACCAATGTAAAAGACAAGTACTGGCTTTTGTCTCTTTTTGAAGTTCTATCATTAGCTAGTTTTATTTCTAGAACTCTAACTTTAAAAAAAAATCACCTCTGATATCTATTTTAAAAAGAGCAGGTACTCCTGAATCCCCCGCTTTGATCAGTATTAATCCATTGATGTTATTGAAAAGTCCTGCCTCACCACACTTAGCAATTTCCAGAATTATTAAGAGGTAAGACATCTCTTTGATGAAGAGCAATTACTGGGATTCTTTCCTTTCTTAGTCATGAACTCCAGAGAGCACCATCCCCTTAGTCCATT